GGGGGGGGGGACTCTCTTAGCCTAGATACACAAGGGAGGGCCTAGGCCCTGCCCCAAATGACTTGACAGATTTTGATGATCCCTCATGGGTAGCCTCACCCTCCCTGGGGAGTGGATGGAGGATGGGATGGGGGGTTGGTGTGGGGGCATGGGAGCATGGGAGGGATTGATATGTAAAACAACATTGTTTCTAATTTAAATAAAATTTATATAAAAAATCTTAAAAAAAAAAAGAAAATCCCCCAGTTCAAAAGATTTTTTTTTGAGAGGATGCCAAACAGCAGCATTCCCCGGCTTTGCATAAATTTGCATGTATATGTGTAAACATAGAACACTGTTATTCTAGCACTTTCTGTTGTACATGTACTGAAGCATCTGCAAAAGTCCAGACTGAGCATGCCAACAGCATAGACCAGACCATGAGAGGAGGTGAGGAGAGCAAGAGAAGAAACGGAGAGGAAAGAGGAAAGAGGGCAAACAGAACAAGAGAGGTCAAAGAGCTAAGAGTAGAACAGAGAGCGCACATAGCCAAAATGACTGAGCTATATAGGAAAGAAAAGGGGGGCAGTGAACCTCAGGGGCTGGAAAGGTTTAGGGTAGGAGGTAGGGTATGCCAGCAGGACGACTCTGTAACAGGCACTCAAATGGGTAGGGACTGAGGGAGCCTAGAGCCCAGTACAGACCTTGATATGCTAATAGGCACCACAGGTGTATGTTAGTGGAAGAGCCTTATGTCTCTGAGGAATGCTGACTTTTGTCTAAATGCCAGACTTTGGGAAATGGGATTTCTTGGGACCTAACACCTTGATAGACAAAAATAGCAGCTTCTGGTAGCAGCAACTAAGGCTATCTCCGAAAAAAAATGGCAGCAAGGTACTCCATCTATGCCTTGCTTTGCATGTGGTAATGCTGACCCCTAGGCAAAGAACTGTACGCATACCTAGACCACCACCCAGGTCCCGCCCAAACAGTGGACACTGTTAGATTAACTGCCCTACTCTGACTTTCCAAGGAAGGTCAATTTTCCTAAGTTCATCCTACACAGAAAACTCTCTCAGACCTTCTGGGTCTAGGGACCAAAGGCTGGTGCTGTCCTGTGTGGTAAACAAAGCCATGAGGATCATCATGGAGGATTGTAGGCTGTCTGTCCAAGAAGCAGGTAAGTCTCTGTCATTCTGTTACAGAAGTCATTTGGTTTATACCTCCTACTCAAATTTATCCTTCTCAGATCTCAGTGGTGGTGTTGATGGTTTGCCCTGTTTTATCAGGTTAACAGCAGCAAGCAGAATTTAGCCAGGTTTTCTCACAAAGGCTGCAGCTTCGGAGAGTCAGTCCATTTCATAGGTAAAAATCAGGCCTTGCTTTTTCTACACCTACTAGATCTCCTGCTGAGAAGGGCAAACTCACAGACAGGTTTACCTTGCTGGCAGGCTTCATGCTAAGAAAGGTAAACTCACAAAACAGGCTTCAGTGTAAACACAAACTCAAGCTACCAAGCTGCTGTTACTTATATTTACATTCATTTAAAAGAACTTGCTTTTCAATGACTGCTCTTAGTAATCAAGCACCTATGTCTCATAGTAAATGATTGGATATTTCCAGAAGGAAGAAAAGAAAAGAAAAAATGTAAAGTTTATGCACGTTGTAAAGATCTGAGGAAGTGATTTAAGGTATGTGGAAAAAATGAGACTTAAGTATGATACATATGATGTTATGACCTGAAAAGTTCAGAGGTTTAACACATTAATCATTGTAATTCTGGGAAGTTATTAATCTAGCTTTGGTAAAAATAAATAAATAAAACCCTGGCTACTAAAGCATTTTTAAAAATTATCATAGTTCACAGGCTCAAAATTTATAAATTGCTCTTGGTACCATAGGAAATCAGCAGAATATGGTTCATTTCCCACAAAGCAGTACCCAACTTATGGTACTTAGGTCTAGAAAGTTCAGTATGCCACCTACAACCATTTAAAATAAACTCCCACTCAATGATGGCCTTCTTTGAATGAATTCCTGCTTACTTCCCAAGGAAAATTCTCCGCAAAATCCATGCTGGAGTGGGCACTGAGCCTTATCTAAGGAGAAAGCTCTGGAGACTGGCATGTTGCATTAGGACCATAGACGTGAGCAAAGGGGATGGATCTAATGGCAAATGGGCTGGACACATAAACCTGAAAACCTAAGTTAGAGCCAGAAACTCACAAGAAGAACCTGCATGTGTGTATGTGTTCCATATGTGTGCCTGGTGCCCAGAAGCCAGAAGAGGGCATCAGATAGCCTGGTGCTGGAATTAGAAACAGATTTAAGTCTGGGTTCTGGGACCAAAATCCTATCATAATAGCCATTTCTCTTTAACTGCTGACCCATCCTTCCAGCCCCCTATTAAAATAGTTTTAAATTAATGTTTTGTCTTCTCAACATCTTCCAGGGAGAAAGTAAATGAGAGTGCTTTTTACAGGAACAAACAAAATTTTCCAAGCAGAAAATGCCCTTGGAAAATTCCCTTTCACTCTCTTCCTCACATGTCCCCTTGAGGATTGTGGAAAACTTTTCTAGAAGAAGTAGATTTTGGCTCTGGTCCCCAGTGATGTGTGGGTGCTCGTGTTAGAGAAGGAACCCCATAATCTACAGAAGGAAACACCACTGCAGACCAGACCCAAAGATGTTTCCAAAACCAGGAACTGAGGGAATTCACCTTGAAAGAAAGAAGCTAACAATTCCATTGTTGACATCATTCTAAGAATTTCAGAGTGAGTTGGAGAAACCAGTCAGAAGTTAAAAGTACTTGCTGCTCTTGTAGAGCCCCAGAATTGGGCTTGCAGCATCCATGCCAGGCAACTCATAACCTCCTCTAACTCTGGTTCCAAGGAAGCCAATGCCCTCTTCTGGCCTCCACAGGTACCTGCATGTGTGGGGCACACATATATACATAAATAACACACACACACACACACACACACACACACACACAAAGAAAAACAAAATAATTGCAGAGACCACAGGAAGATTCTCATGCTTCCAATTTATTTGACAGACAGGAGATTACCCCACGGCTTTGGTGCCAGCTTTGCCCCACAAATGGTTCATGGGTGACAATGTGAGGTGGCTTCTGTCATATCACAAAGAAGAAAAAATAAGGGTTTTTCTCTAGGATTTGCCACTAATGGGCCTCATGGTCTTTGTTCCATCAGAGAGTGTTCTAGGTTTTCTTTTTTAAAGAGGGAAGAGATTTGTTAGGACTATTGAGTTGACAATGAAGCGGTAAGAGTGAGGCCATTTTCAAAAGAAAAAGGTGCATATCCTAGGAACAGGGTGATAAAGCTGGAGGATCGAATCCTGCTCTCCACTTTTACATAAGGACCAATTCACCCATCCTGGGAGTGAGTTTCCACCTCATTAATCAAACTCTCCGGCTTTAGAGCTGTATTCTGTCTGTTGGGCATAACTGACATCTCTCTAGGGGAAACAATAACCTTTTCAAGGACCACAGCCTTCTTCCTAGAAGTTCCCTTCTCACTGGGAGTCACAGTCTGAAGATAGATAAGAGTTGTATCCATCCCTGGAGGGGTCACAGACTGATTACCCACTGTGGCCTTGGTCTCTTCCCCTGGAGTCACAGACTGATTACCCACTGTGGCCTTGGTCTCTCCCCCAGGGGTCACAGACTGATTACCCACTGTGGCCTTGATTTCTCCCCCAGGGGTCACAGACTGATTACCCACTGTGACTGTGGTCTCTCCCCCAGTGGTCTGTGTCTGGACTGTCACTGTCATCCCAGTCATGGTCTCAGACAGAAGGTCCAGTGAGGTGGTAGTTTTTGCCCCAGGAGCAACAGTGTTTCTTTCTAGAGCTACAGCATATGTTGCAGGAGATGTTGTTCCTCCAGGGGTCACAAATCCACCATTAGGGATTGTAGTCACCTTTTCATACTTTCTGTGGACCTCAGTGGCCATAGCCTCTCCTCCTGGGGGCAAAATCTTTACAGTATCAGTGGTCAACTCCTCTGTCACTGGCAGACTCTCAGAGCCAGGTCCTGAGGAATTCACAGGCAGTGTAAACCAAAATTGTGGCAAAGGGGTCAAGTTGAACTCTGGAGAAAAATCATCAGAAAAAAAAATTAGTAAGATTTCTATCTCTTCTTTCCTTTCTTATTAATTCCCAGCAACTCTAAAGCTACTCCAAAGCTGAAAAATCTGATCCAAAAACCCAGTATTGAAGAATTTCATGATTTACTCGTTAGAGAGGAAAGATAAAAATCCAACCACACCAAAGCTCTGTAACCTTACCCTGAAGTGTTAGTATAGACCCAAACTGTGGGCCATCTGTGGATTTGCTGCATTTCTGGTGACTACTTCAAGGAAGGCCCTTAGGTCCCTATGTCTAGGCCCTCACTTTAACCTCCCTGGGTATCTCTAGCCAGACCTATTGTTCAAGGTCTAATTTGTTGTTGACAACTCAAGGAGAAGCTGTCTGTATGCCATGTTGGAGGAGGTGTCAGAAACAAAGCTGAAGCCTGGAGACTCTACACTGCAAGTGGTAAACCATTAGATTACAGCCCATGTAAGTGTTGGCCTTGCTGAGCTCCAGTCCCAAATCTCTAAGGGAATTCAACTCTTACATACAATTTCCTAATTGCCAGTGCAGCCGCTAATATCAAAAGGTGTTTGTGTGCGTGTGTGTGTGTGTGTGCGCGCGTGCGTGCGTGCGTGCGTGCGTGCATGCCTTTTCTAGTCCCTTGCCAAAGAAATGAAAAGTTAAAAAAAAAAACAGAAATGAATGTTAACTATGAAAGAGTATGCTGTTCACCTAGTATTTCATTTAGTTTTTCATAATGGTCTACATCTGGGACTATTTCATTTTCAGATAAGGCAAAGGAAGCTCAAGGAGATCAAGTTTGGTTGACATTGAAGTTTGTTCTCTTCCTTCAATGTCAAGTCAAAGAGGTTAGACCCAGAAGAATGGGCACCAGTGTGGTTTTGCCACTTACAACCCTGGCTTCTAGGTCCTAGTTACTTACCTGCCTGCACCAAGACCTCATTCAATATATGGACAAGGGGGAAAGGGCCATTGCCACAGAAAGTGCCCTTGACATCATCCATATCCAGCGTCCACACCATGGCTCCCCCAAAATGTTCTTTTTTCACAAACATTGCCTATAAAAATAGTAGTCAGTTACTAACCACCCTCCAGTCTGGGTACATGGGGGAACGACAGAAGATGAGCAAACCTACAGAAGGCAATGAAGGAGGACATTTATGATAATGATTGCCTCTATTTCTCATTAGCTATGGAATCTTAAATTTTCTATATGATTCTTATCTTCTTTAATCACCTATTTCGAGAAAAATAAATAATATTTCCAATATTTTAGGGACAAAAGAATGCCTATACACTACAACATGAATGAGTTTTTGAAGATACTATGCTAAGTAAAATAATCAGACAAAAGAAAAATGACAAAATCTATGTGATTCTACTGATTGTGCTAAGTATTTAAAGCAGTCAAACCCACAGAGGCAGGAAGTATAATAATTGCCATGTGCTGGGGGCGGGGGGAAAGGGGAGTTAGTGTTTATGGGTACAGTGCTTGAATTTGGGGAGATAGAGGAGTTGTAAAGATGAATGATATGAGAGCCAAACAACATGTGAGAACATTTAATGTCACTGACTTGTGGGCTTAAAAATGACTAGAATGGCATTGGAGAGATGGCTCAGAAGTTAAGAGCACTGCTTATTCTTCCAGGGGTCCTGAGTTCAATTCCCAGCAAACACAAGTGGCTCACAACCTTCTATAATGAGATCTGGTGTCCTCTTCTGGTGTGCAGGCATACATGCAAGCAGAATATTTTGTGCATAATAAATAAATCTTTTTTAAAAAATGACTAAAATATAGGGAGGGTATGATGACTCATGCCTGGAATCTCAGCACTCGGCAGTAGGAAAATCGGAAGTTCAAAGCCAGTCTTGGTTACATAGTGAATTTGAGGTAAACCCTGGCTACATGAGACCCTGTCTCAACACCCCTCACCAATTAAAAGAGAAGATAAAATGATGAACCCTCTGTTTTATGTTATGTAGGAATACTCCTTAACTTTAGCAGGCACATAGCTAATGTTTCCTAATGTTAGTTACTCTTTCCATATCCCTCAGCCTGCCACTATCATCACCATCAAACTGAACTATGAGATCATTTTTTCTTTTAAAATCACTTCCTCAAACCTTATGTCACAGTGGTGCTAAAATGTAACCATAAAACAGATACTGTCTGCCGTTTTTACAGATGAGAAGATAAAGGCTGTCTTCCGTGACTTTTCAAATTCAGCTCTAACTAAACGGCAGAGTTTGCACTCTAATTCTGGACTATTGTTATTTTGCTGGTGCTCCTACTCTCTCTGGTAGAAAATAAAACAAAAACCCCACAGATTCTATCCTATTTAAATATTTGTGTGACATTGCTCAGACATATTGCTCTTCGGTGGAGTTTATTTTCCTGAAATGTAAAACACAAGAAAGGGGTTAGGAGTAACTACTAATCCAGAAGCTTATTCTGCTTACAGGCTAGTAAGTTACTTTGGATCAGAGAACAAACTACTCATATTGAAACAAGAAGCCAGCCCCTACCCTAGTTCCCCCGCTTTTGTGGGTTTGCCCCTTTAAATATGTAGCATAATAAGTGGAATCATACAGAATTTATCAATTTTTGTGTGATTATTCTGTTTAGCATAGTACCTTCAAAAACTCATTCATATTATAGTGTGTAGGCATTCTTTAGGACCTAAAAATATTGGAAATATTATTTATTTTTCTTGAATGAGGTAACCAAAGAAGGTAAGAGTCATAGAATTTCTAAGATTCCATAACTAATGAGAAGTAGAGGCTAGAATCCAATGCAGATTATAATCATAAATGTCCTCCTTAGTTGCCTAGTGTGAGGAGCTGGAGAGATTGCTCAACTATTAAGACTGCTTTTATGGTGGACCCCGGTTTGGTTCCTAGCACTTACATGGTGGCTCACACCATCTATAATTTCAATTTCAGGGAAAAGAACAAGTGTCTCACCTTGTAACTGAAGCTGATGGTATCATCATAGCCAACCCACTCCTTCCCCTTGTAGGCATATGGGACATATTGATGATCAATCCAGTGCTTTTCTGCTTGCTGGATAAAGGAACAAACCTGCCAGGAGGACACAGGTAAGTTCCATGAAATGCCTTGAAGAGAAGCACCAGGAGACTCAGTTGCTTCTTATCTCGGGAAAAAGAATCCAAGAAAAGCCTCTCACCAGAGCCTGAGATGACAAACCAAAAAGGGAGAGAGAAACTGTTCACAGAGGACTTCCTCTTCCTCTACATACTGACTATGTCCCTTCTGTTACAGGGTCCTTCCTCTAGAGTCCATGGTTTATTTAAAAAAAAAAAAAAAAAAGAAAGAAAGAAAGAAAGAAAGAAAGAAAGAAAGAAAGAAAGAAAGAGAAAGAAAAAAAAGAAAAGTGACTGACATTCACCAGAAACAAAGTCAGAGTTTGGTAAATAACTCCAATGCCACAACACTAAGATGAATAAGCCTGACCAGTGGACTACATCTGTTTTGTTGTCTTCATAAACAAGTCTCTCTTGTGTTCATTAGAGCTCAGGACCAGTTGCCCCATCCAGGAAGCTATCCAACTAGCACCTGAAGTTCCAGTACCTCTAAAGATCTTGAAGGCAGTTAACTAAGTTATTATAACCCACCATGCTCTTGAGTGCCCACTGAAACATCAGCATTGTGCTAGAAACTGAATATTGCAGAGACACATAAGTGTTCAAGTTGTACGGCAGAAGTTAACATCTAAGTCATTCTTTGTGAGGTTGCTGCTGCTGTAGTGCTGTTGTTGGGGTTTTTGCTGATTGGTTAAGTTGTTTGATTGTTTGGTTTTACTTTAAGGTTTTGTGTGTTGAAGTTTTTGTAATGTATCATGGCCTTAAAAAAAAGTTCTTTCAACTATGATACCATGAAAACCATGCTTCATGAGAATTGCAGGAAAATATCTCCAATGATCCAACAGAGAGCAGAGCTTGGAGGTACATGCAGCATTTCCACTCCTCCCTAAGGGAGGACTGTAACTCTTCATCTGGCACCCTCCTGTCCTCTACTTAATCCCAAGATACTTGAAAGCACACACAAGTGTGTGTGTGTGTGTGTGTGTGTGTGTGTGTGTGTGTTTAAAAGGCCTGCATTTTATTTAGAACATAGACCAAATCTGAATTTACCCATGTAACATTTAAGATTTTCCTTTCCAGCCAGTGTTGGTGGTGCACGTCTTTAATCCCAGCACTTGGGAGGCTTGGGAGGCAGAGGCAGGTGGGTCTCAGTGAGTTCGAGGCCAGCCTGGTCTACAAAGAAAGTTGCTGAACAGCCAGAACTACAGAGAAACCAGGAGGGAGGGAGAAAAGATTTTCCCTTTCCATTCATATTCTCCGTGGCCTCTTATCTCTTACAAAGGACTCCACAACCCCAAAAGAAAAATATTTTTCAATGAATTTCCCTTGTCCAGAAAAAAAAGGCTCTTTGCCCTGTCTCTAGCTCTCACCTACCATTGCTCTTGTCCTAGCTCTTGCTCCAGCTTGAGGTAAGAGCCCCAGCCACTAGACAGACATCTCTAATACCATCACCTCATAGTAAGCCAGGAAGCCAGCCTGCTTGGTGTACTTCCCAGGAGATGCTGGTCCCATTGAAGCAGCCTCCAATCCATTCTTGGATTCTCTGGTGAGGTGAAAGGTTCGTCCATAGGCAGGGAAGCCCATGAGTAGTTTATCTGCAGGCGCCCCAAGATTTCTCCAGTAATTCATAGCATATGCCTATAGATGGAAAGAAGACAACCTCGCCAATTGTCTGGGCGCAAGGATGGGAATCTGGATCACCCGAGACCTTTCCTTTCCTTACCGAAGATTTGGGGTCTTCAGGAAGGGAGAACAGAGGACTATTGTGTCCTGTAGACTTTTCCCAACTTCCATGTAAGTCATAAGACAAGACATTAATGAAATCCAGACGTCTGTAAGGAACAGAGGAGAAGATATGAGTGTCAAGCTAAGTAAAACCTCAACTCAGATCATCACAGCACTCTTCAGCTAAATAGCTGCAAGTCAGCCATCAGAGCTTCTTGCTCCTGTGGACCTGCCCAGGTTAAGCAAGCCACTTTGAGATGGAATGAATTGCTGCCTAGGGATCAGCTCTATGCATCCTGGGAGTATATACGGAGGTAGAAAGAGATCAGACATGAAAATGAATATATGCAGGCCTGACAGAGTGTGGCAGAGGTTTGAATGAACTGTCATGAATCTAACCTTGGTGACCCCCATATAAGAGGTCAGAGAACCACTGACGTACACTCTTCCAGACGCTTCCATAATCATAATGACCAAATATTACCTGAGCATGTATCATGGCAGAATGTAAGGGTTTATACTGGTTACCTAATTTAATCTTGTGAATGCCATAAATAGATCCTCCCTCTGTCTGTTTGTCTGTCTTTCATGACAGTGTCTCATTACACAACCCATGCTGACCTAGAACTGACTATGTAACCCTCACTAATTTCAAACGAATGATCCTCCTTCATCTACCTCCCTGATGCTGTGATTACAGAAAAGTATACAATGCCATAGCCAATCAACTTTTTACATTTTAAGGTTAAATAATTAGAAACACATATTAACAAATTTTCTGAAAGCCACCCAGTTAGGTAAAGGCAACACTCTCTCAGTGTTACCTGGCAACACAATGGACACTCATAAGCTTTCTTCCCTGTAGGGTCTCTCTTTTTCTCCCATGTTAAAACAGCCCTCCCTCCTGTGATTTCATGGAAACATTATGTCCTCTATTTCTCTGCATGAACCTTGGTTTCTTCATCTTTAGTACTTGATTGTGAGTCAAGAAAATTAGGTCAGAGCCAGCATGTCTAGAAAGATTTATGATCTATTTTTGTCTGCTTTTTAACTTTTGCAAAAAGATCTACTCTGAAATGTGAGTGAGTACAACTGGGCAATCCTGTGTTGTTTTCCATGGCTTTGCTTGCTACCCACCTGCCCTCTGACAAAGTTACCTATTATCCTGTGTTGTTTTCCATGGCTTTGCTTGCTACCCACCTGCCCTCTGACACTATCACCTATTGTACACTATGTGTCTACTCCTGTGCTCAGAGGAGGAAGAGGCCAGGCCCACGGCATTCTCCAGCTATCAGTTCCAGCAATGGGTCCTCAAGAAGACTCTACCTGTGGTAATGGTGTGATAAGCCAGCAGTACAAAACCCCGTTCTGATTTTTTAGTAAAAGCCCAGGGATGGGTAAGATACCATTCCTATCCTCAGCTCACCCCAGAACCTCACCAACATGGGACAGCAAATGGAAACTCAGACAGTGTTTTAGCCACTCAGGAGCAGCATCCACTCACCTTCCTAAAAGGGGCACATCATAAGATGTTTGAATGATGTATGGGATGCCAGAGACAGCAGCCGACAGCAGCAGTCTCGGGCGCTGGGTGAGCAGAGCCTCCTTCTCAAAGGCAAACTGGAGCTCCTAGGGAGAAAGACACACACACACACACACACACACACACACACACACACACACACACACACGGTGGGGGTAAAAGCATCATCCAGAAATTGTTTAAGCTCTTTAAGCTAGGCCTGGGACAGAAAAAGAACACAAGTTCTGCCCATAGGCTATGTGAAAGACAGACAGCATACCAACATGGTACTTGAATTACTAGAGGGAAGGAAAGCAGGCTGGGAACAAGACCAGGAAACTTCAGAGAGAAAGTGTCCCTTAGTCTCCAGAGCCAGAGCAAGATCCAGCTGGAGACAGCCCTAAGACAACTGCTCCACAGCAGTGTGACCCAGCACCTCCAAGGAATGTCAGTAAAAGAATATTCTGTTCCTTTCCCCTGCCCCAAACTTGTGTTATCTCTCTGACATTCCCCCACCCCCAAATGAAAAGAATAACCATTTGCTTATTGGCCTTACTTCAATTAAGAAGAGAAAATTCCACCGGTCATTCATAGGGCTGCCTCGTAGTCCAGGGTACAAGAAGAAAAGATCAAGCCCATCAAAGCCATGTGTCCTCAGGAAGGATACTACTGAACCAATAAATTCTTCTCGGCTAGCAAGGGTGGACAGCATAGTGGTGAACCTGCAGGGAGGCCAGGGTAAGGCAAAGAACAATATCTTCAAAATCAGTGTCTTCTGATGTCCTAGAAAGGTTGCCCAGCAGGTGGCTTAAGATGGCACAAGAGGCAAAGTGCTCTCAAGGAAAATTCCCAACCTTGACTCTTTTATTCTTTGCCTTGTTTGAGTTTTTAAAATTTGTTTCCTTTTCCATAGCAAAACACTTAGGAGTAATTCTCGATTATGGGAGCTAACTTTAAGCAAATCCAGATTAATCTTGTGAAAAGTGATTATAAAATAACTAGACCTAGGGGCCTGGAGAAATGGCTCAGAGGTTAAGAGCACTGACTGCTCTTCCAGAGGTCCTGAGTTCAATTCCCAGCAATCACATGGTGGCTCACAACCATCCATAATGAGATCTGGTGCCCTCTGCCATCCTGCAGGCATACATGCAGGCAGAACATTGTATACATAATAAATAAAATCTTTTTTAAAAAAATAGCTAGACCTAGAGATAAATGGACCTGGGTGCCATTGTCCATTGACCACCACTCAGCTGGGTTCTCTTGAGGGGTGAGGACACTTGGAAGAAATCTGGCAAGTTCCTTAATACTTGTGACTCTTGCTTTCTTTTCCTAATAATGTGAAACACAGCCATTTCCCAAGAAACCATCCATATATACATATATGTGTGCACATGCATACATGTGGCATCTCAGTCGGCTTTAGGATCACAGCAAGTCAAAGGAACAGAGATGAGTCCTGGGGCTGAACAGAGCTAGTGGCCAGACACCACACACCTGGAACCCTTCACTCCACCTGGAGGTCCCTTTCAGAGGGCATCCTACACACACCAGACTATCAGGCTGGAAAGCAGGCTCTGCCCCAGGCCTGAGCCAGGATGCAAGGAAACTGTCCTTTTGAGAATATGAAGGTGGTTTGTCATTTCCCTATTGTGGTACTAACAAGAGCAGCCACCGCATGAAGGATATATGCTGTAAGTCCCTGCAATAGCACCAAAATATCATTTGTTGTATCTTTGTCTATAACACAGCCAGCCCCATGCATGGAGTGGCAAAGCCCAGGGCCTGTGAGGTTTGGGGGTTACTCTTCTTGTCCTATATATTGTCCTTGTCCTTGGTATTTTTTTTCCTATGGATTCGTATCTCCAAGCGGTCTCATGTTTTATTTTGTTCTGTTCTGTTTTGTTCTGAATGTGTTTTCAGATGATGCTAAGGTCAGACCCAGGTACACTGCCACTGTACCACACTCCCAGTCCCAAGTGCACCATAGTGTCTCTTGTGTTCCCCTGTCCCTTTTCTCACCACCGTTAGGACTCTCTTTTCCTCTTATGACCCTCTGTGGGAAAGGATCCCTTGAATCCAGGACTTGAGAAGGTACCAACATGGGCTTTGCTGCTCTCGTATCCAAGCTGGTTTACACACACACACACACACACACACACACACACACACACACACACACACCATGACTCTCATTTCTAGCCCATCTTGCTCTTCCTCTCAGAGAGAAGACAGTGACTGAGCAGCTCACCGTGATGTGCCGAAGTTCCACCCTCCGATGGACAGCAGTGTTTTCAGGGCTCTGTTCCTGGAATGTAGGGGGAAAGGAGGAAAAGTAGGTCCTTACTCTATGGGCAGCTGCAGTCAGTGCTCTTATTTCTGCTGTGTATTAGAAAAACAATGGGAAATGGAGAAGGGGACATGAGAAGAACGGGAGAAGGCATGAGAAAGGAGGAGACCACGGAAGTACAGAAAACAGAGGCTAATAATCTGAAGACCACTGCAGCTCTGCACAGCAAGAATACCCAAAGTGTCCCAAGCGCCCTCACTTCTCCATAATAATATTTTCAGAAAACAAAGTCTAAAATGTTCCTAGTCACTCATTTTCCAACTCAACAAATATTCACTAAGCAATGACTATGTGCCTTTGACTGTTTGAAATGCAGCAGCAAACACATAGCAAGCCTCCCGCTCACCTCTCTGAAGCCCTTTAGCAGCATTAATCCCTCCCAACTGGACTCAAAGGGTGAGCCAGAGTTTACCAGGAGAAAGGAGTGTGAAGACATCCAAGAACAGGTAACATAACTCCCAAGCCATCGAGGCAAGAAGCAGCTCATGGGGCTGGTCAATAGAGAACTTTGAAGTAAGAAGCACTCAGATCAGAGAGAAATGTAGGATTAGAGAAATCAGGGGAATTCAAGAGTAATAAGGGAAATAGGCTTAATTTTCCTCTAGCTATAAAATCTGAGAGCCTAACTGCACATCTAACATACCTCTCCTTGAGTTTGTTGAACTCTGGATAGAGAATTTTCTCATCCTGGAGATTATTGGCAACAATCTGATTGTTGCTCATTGAGGCAAAGGCAAATATCAGATGTGTACAAAGAAAGGGATCCAGGTCACGGGGCAAGATGGAGGCAGGGCCTGGCCGACTGTGAGCCCAGTTGGTAAAATAACACACCAGCTTGTAGGCAGTACCTGGCAAGGACAACAAGGGTTAGTCAGCAGAGATCATGGGGCAAGGAGGGAATTCGGCTTCTGGGGGTAGAGAAAGCACAGCCAAAGAGAGCAGGCCACTGTAACAGTCCATTCCTCCCACATATACCAACACCTCCTCCACATGCCCCTGGACCCCTTGCCCTTGCTGCTGAGGCCCAAGAGAAGAAAGAATGCCTTATCTGTCTAGATCCTGGCACCTACTGAGCCATACAAACAGCAAGTGGCCAGCATCCTGTGCTGAATTGTATTGGATCAATAACCTCTGAGCAAGGAGCCAAAACAGGCAGGGGTCCAGGAGACACTGAATGGAGATTTCCTAGCCAGAGAATCTCCCTGGCTTTGGAGGGGAGAAGGTGGTTTCCTTACCATCGTTGTGTTTCATCAGAAGAACCAGCCCTGCAGGAAACAAAGGAATTCATATACTAGCGCAGTGTGGCTTGCCCCCATAAACCCCCAGTCAGCAAGTGCCCCCTCCAGCTCAGCACCATATACACACTCAGATACACACATGGTGACACACATCAGGCACTGGTTTCCTCTCCTTCAAAGTTAACAGTGAAGCTGGTCTAAGCCCTTTTCTATAATCATCAAATGTACCTGCTCATACTTTGCATAGGGACAATGGCAGATGTACAAGCTAAGGGGTTCTCAATTCTGGCTGTAAATTCAAAAGTACTCATATCAAAGCTCTCTTCTCAGAAATTCTGAATAAATTGGCCCAAGATGGAGCCCAATCATGAAAACAACTAGGTTGGAGAATTGCTGCTCGGCCCCTTCCTCCCAGTACCTCTGGTTCTTTATTCCATCTATCTCATATTTGCCTCATCCAGACTCGGAGTCTCAGGCTGCTTTACTGGGCACCAGAGAAATAGTAAACTGCTATCTCCCTAACTATGTGGCATTGCCAGGATCCACCATACTCACCAACCCACAGCAGCAGCCTCCCCATCTCAGCTGTCTGGCAGCTATGGGGATGGAGCTCAAGACCCTTTAATAGGAGCTAGCCCATGTGCAACATGGGGAGAGCCCAGCTACACACACATGCCATGCCAGAAACGATGGCTCAAGAGTCACAGTGACCTCAGAAATACTTCTACTCCCTCTCAGGAACAGCTGTAGTTCTCAGGGCCAACAAAGCCACATCCCTGGCCTGACACAAGCAGGGAGTCAGTGTTCACCGCAGGCTATAACAAAGACAAGGGCAATGTTCCTGAGTCTTGTCTGGCAATTGGCCCCATTTCCTGGTATCCAACTCCCCACAGCTGAGGTGGAGGAGAAACACTGCATGATGGGGTATGTCTATAATCAGAAAAGCAGTGTATCATGAAGCTTTGATGCTTCAGCTTTGGATTCTGGCTTTAGAGCCAAGGTAGCAATCCCTGTTATATCACTTATAAGTTATATAATTTTGGATGAGTTATTGAGCCCCTGCAGTTTCCACACATAAAGGAAAGTCTGTTTTTCTTGAGCTAATAGAGCATTCTTATCTCCCAGGAATATATAGGGACTGGAGAGATAGTGAGAAAATTGTGGCTTGCATAAAATAAGAGCTTAATTCATTATAGATGTTATTAGGAAGCTGGCCAGAAGAGCAGGATATGCTCAAACTCAAACACTGATACTCACCAGGCTGCTCATGTCAACAGGTGGAGTAAACACACTAAAACAGCCAGTGTGTTCTCTACATGATACAAAGAGAGTTCAGACCAGTGTCTAATGTGCGGTCCGACTGGAGAGCTATTGCACTAGTCCTTCTCCCCTGGTTCTCTGACCTTTCACTGTCACCTGACAGTAGTCAGGAGGGACTGGTAAGGGAGGGGACAGCACTCGTGAGCAGCAGCTATTGGTTGCCCTGCATGGCTAGTGGGCCTGGAGTTGATAGAGCCATTATTTCCTCAGGCAAAAAACAAAAACCTGAAACTTTTTAAGCGTCAGAAAACATTTGGACAAGTATATGAGCCAACCATGAGAATGGAACCTGAGCCTCAGGAATATGAATATGATTATGGACACCCAGGAGCCAATTTTAAATGCAACAACAATGCAAAGGTTAAAAAAATAAAATCTGGGAGCTGGATAGATGGCTCAGGAGTTAAGAGCACTGGCTGCTCTTCTAGTGGTCCTGAGTTCAATTCCCAGCAACCACATGGTGGCTCACAGCTATCTATAACAAGATCTGGTGCTCTCTTCTAGCCTGCAGGCATACATGCAGGCAGAACACTGTGTACATAATAAATAAATCTAAAAAAAAAAAAAACTTGAAAGAGGAAAAAAAAAGCTGGAAAATACCTCTGATATTTAAAAAACAAAAAGTCTGTACATCAGCTGTTGCTTTAATCCATGGGTTTTCTTTCTCTGAGACCATCTAAAGATGGTCTGTGTGCCCTCTCTCTGAGACAGACACTGCTGCACACGCACAGGAGGGGCTACACAGATCCCAATGGAGGAATCAAAGAAATCACAGTGCCCAATGGTCAAATCTGTTGAACAACTGTCCTTCACTTAAGGAATGAAATAAGCAAGAAACTCAAAATTTTTATACCAGAAATGTATTTAGATATCCAAGAACAAAGACAAATGGAGTGGTGTGTGTGTGTGTGTGTGTGTGTGTGTGTGTGTGTGTGTGTGTGTGTTCTTGGAAATCCACAATGGTTGCAGTGAGAAAGCATTGGCTTTATTATCAAACAGGCCCCAGGGCCCCTTCCTGCTCTGTATCATCCCTGGGGTCCTTCATGTATCTTCATGTATCTTCAATTCTTTGGGCTACTGTTAACCTAAAGCAGATCAGCAAGCCTCCCAAGGCAATAATTTATCCCTGTGGTTTAATGACTCCCCGATGTTCTTTTTCACTCTAATGACCCTGCTTTTCTCAGTCACTGTTTGTGTGCCCTAATTCTTGTTATTGAATCTATGACTTTGCAACCTGATCTATAAATTATTGGTACTAAGGTTGATTTCTGGGGCCTCAGTCTTGTCAGGCTCCCTCATGGTCTGATGCTCTACTGGTTCCCTTTTAATACATCCTTCCTCCACTGTGACTCCTGCCTTTCAAGATCTTACGCATGGCTGAGATGCCCTGCTAGATTTGCACCCTTCAAATCACACTGCTGCCAGGAGCACTAGTTGTCAGTATACTTTGCCTGACAATCGGCACCTCATCTCTCCACATCCACAGGAGTAGCTAGGATGCTGAGAAAGCAAAGACAGAACAATGGTTGCCACCAATGACCTCTGCCTAATCCAGGCATGACCATGCCAAAAAGCTGGCAATTCTGATTCTGTATACATAGTGGTTGATGATCACATTAAATAAGGATTAAATAGAAAATCAATGTGCTGGGTCCATTTGCCCCCAATTTTATTCCTTCAGTTCTTGCTTTAAAACAAACAACAAAAAATAGCCAATGCTTCTGTGACACATGCACTGGCATTTAGAATCTGTTCTTTAGTGCTTAGCCTATTCTTACAGGGAAAGATATATACTAATATATGTTACTTGGGTAACAAGAATTCTGCAAAGCAGCATGACTGCACTCATATTTCCTTGGTAATGGAGATGAAGGCAGGACCATATGTGAAGCCCTTTCTTTGACCAAAGCGTTTCACTGAAAACTGACATTGTGGAGGAATTGCAGGAGCATGTTTAAGTTAAATCAGTTGTGTGAATGATACAAAATTCCAGAGTATTGACCATGCTTCACAGTAAACCTGAATGAGCATTTCCTAGCCAATTACCTCATCTTTAAAGTAAAGGCTGCTTCCCAGTATTTATTGTAAAGGATGATTGCTGGATAAGCATGAGGACTTTTATCTCTTCTCTTCATATTGGTTATTGTACTAGAAAATGTGCATTATCACATAAAGCAATGTTTTCACACATCATGTTCCTTGTCTTTTATTATGACATGTTTGAGGTATGCACCATGATTTAAGACTTTATAACACTGGATTTACAAGTTAAGCATATTGTTCCAGGTTTCTTATTTTGGGTGTTTTGTTTTTGAGGACAGGCCCTCATAGCCCAGGCTGATGATCTGAGCATTTTACTGAAAGAGCCATGACTACCTCTGTAGCTACAGATCCAAAAGCTAAGCAGTCTGCCTTTGGAATATGTACACCCACAGAAACCAGGCACACCCAGCTTAATGTTTCTAAGCCTGGCCAATGTCATGATTTCTGATAAATTGTAGACTGCAGAACCTGAAGCTAATTTAGCTTGTGGTCATAAAATGTATTCTCAGGTACAACCTTCATGGAGTTGGTGAGAATCCACAAGAGAACTACCACCAAAGTGGAAGTTTCATTTGAAACTAATTCTTAATTCTTTTAGCCCAATGCCTCTAAAATGAAATGCTTGCCTAGAATCTGGCACTCAACATCACAGGGTCAAATGAAATCTGTTATCTTGAGTGACTTTTCAACCAATGACATTGGCTGATTTTCACCAAACCATGTTAGGGACTAAACTCTATTTACAGAGCTTTTGAATTTTGACATTACAAAAAGAATAGCAGATTACCATTTATAACAAGTATTCCACAGTAAGTGGAAGACCACACTAAACATAAGCTAAGACTGTAGGATCATGCATTGTGTTCTGTGTAACTTACCAGTTATTCCTCCCTTCCAGCAGCTCATTCCTCCTTCAGCCTCTTTTGGGTACACCTGTCCTATTGCCACACACTAAAGATTAAAACATCCATGCTTCCATAGGAAGTCCAAATCCCAGCAGTTATGGGAAACCTCACAAAGAAAATGTGTTTGAATGTCCAACAGTGGTCTACTTGCCTTGCTTACTTCCCAACAGTACTGTATAGACTAGAGATGAAGTTGCTGAGACTGAGCCTGGAGCTTGCTTACCATTTCCCAAACAAAAGCAATTTACAGGTTCTGAATTGCCCCCCCCCCCACCCCAGTATGACCATGTTGGCAATAACCAGCTCACTAGCTTCTCCCACACTTGGACTTTGTTAGCCTTCACAATACACATGTCTTTTTCTATTCATATTTACTTGGTGCACTCAAAGCTAAGCCAAGCAATATCAAAACACAAAGGAAATACAAGACACTCAATCTGTCCAAATACACTTTTTAAAATCTAGAGCTCTTTACTCTCCGTCTAAAAAGCATCAATGTTATGATGCTCTGTGAAGTTGTTGAGTTTTAGAACACAAGGCCTCTTCCCCAATATCCTGTCCTTCCTTATTTACTAAAAATATAGAAGCCCAAAGAAGTTTTGAGTTTAGGTACTTTTTAAATTTTATTTATGTGCATATAGGTGGGCAGAGGACAGCTTGAAGAGTCAGTACCATCCTTTTACCATGTGGGTCCAAGACTGAATTCAGGTCATCACTCTTACACACTGAGCCATCTCCTGGCCCTGACTTTGGGTATTTCTGAGACTACACAGACCTTCAGTGTTTCATGTCCCAAGCACTCGACACTTTATGAAAAACTCTTAGATCTTAGTGGGCTAGGGATCAGCAGCTAAGTGGTGGTCAGGCTAACAGATTTCCAAGTATGGATATCAAAGCTAAGGAAATGCAGTCACTCAATGGACACTTGAACAGTAACACTAACCTGAAGAAAACTGAATGGTTTTTAACAAGCAAAATGTACCCATTGTTCCCTGTCACTGGGCCTTGCAGGACTGCAACTATTCTCAAGACAATGAATGACCTGCCACAACTCCAGCCCTATATTCCTGATTGTTTCCAGGTCTTTAAATTTTCAACTATCTTCTCTGCTCATAATATACAATTGTCCCAAGATTATGCTTGTTGCTAATTATGGCTTTGACTAGGTTCGCACACCTGTGGCAAGCATTAGTCAATGTGAACTACTTTTTATCAATACAGACCTAAAAGGAAACTTAAATCTTAGGTTCTCTAAAGAGTAGCAAGTGGTCTCATCTACCCCACTCTTCATTTTTAAACAATGAAAAGTAGTAACAATTCTTCAAAAACTTGTTTCTCTTCTTTGGTCTCATTTTAGACCTTCTAACATAGTTTTTTTTAAGCCTTTTTTCTTTAAGTTTTTCCCCCCCTCTATCAGCCTTAAGCCTAAGAAACAGGCCATGCAAATGCACTATCTGCCCTTCGTGCCTAAGTGACCACAAAACACAAGCTTTATCTCTGAGCAGCAGAGTGATTCCACCAACGCTTATTCTTTCAAGCCCTGGCTGACCATGCATGCAAATTCAAATGTTTTACTCACAGGTAATAACAAGAGCCTCATGACTAGCAAATATAGAATTCAGGAGGCCCACTTACCTACTTTCTCCTAAACTAAAGTTGAAACACTCCAAAGTATATCTATCACCAGTCACTCTCAGCTCCAATATAATCAGTTATTTATCATGAACTCTAAATGGAGTGGCTAGACCACCAACACCAAGTATAAATAAATGTTTAAGTTCTCCCTTAACTAACTACTTCAGGAATGGTAAAATACAGACAGCGGCAGTAAAATTGACAACATCCTGGTGACTCACCTAAGTAAAGCAGACAAAAAGTAACAACAGCTTTGGTGGGGGAAAAGGCCATGACCCAAGTCTTTAATTCACATTTCAGTATTTCAGAATTTCCCTAATGATGGATCTTAAATCTTAATAGTTCACAAATACAGCACTCAGACTTCATATCTCCAGAGGAAGGTGCCCAGAGGCAATCAGGTCTCAGGGTATCTTTAGGTGGGAAAAATGACAAAGATTTCTCTGTAAGAAACCCTGTCAGTTTTCTGACTTCACTGAAACCCCTTTAAATGTTCAATCATCCCTAAAACTTTCTATGAAATCTAGGACAGGAAAACACTCATCTCTCTCATACAACACAGAGGAGGGCAAAGGGTGAGCAAGAACTACATTGCAACAGCCAAATTTATTCACCAAGAAAATGGATCTGAAAATTCAGTTTAACATGGATTTGTACAAAACTGTGGTATTTCTGTGTCTTCTCAAGGTATACTGTGCTGGACTTTTATGGACTGAAGTATTCCCCATAATGAATTAAACTCTATATAAAAATAAGTTACCCCATCTCTGAGTGGTGGAACCACTCCCACAAATCTAGGGATACTCACATTCCATATCCCAGACAACATATCCAATTCTTGGACTTGGGAAGCATAAAACTGTTCTCACTTTGTGGGAAATAAAGAGCAGTGCTTTGGGAAAGCTGAAGAATAATTTTCCCCACCCCAAACTACTTAATACACTCACACACATGTGCTCTCTCGAACACATATACCCATTTATATAAAGGAAGTTTTCCCTCCTAGACACTATGGGCTGCAGCCTCCCTCAGGCTGAGAGTCTGCCTGTTTATTGCACGGGACTAGGGAGTAACATGCTCTACAAGGCTCCTTCCTGTGCTCTCACAATACGGAGGCATTCTCAGGTCCAGGGGCTGGGAGAGGCTCAATGGGCACAACATGGTGGATGACTTGATGGTCCCAGCCAACTGTGGTAAGGAGGGAGTGGTTAAGTGGAGACCACGTAGCATCTCTCACGAAGTCTCTGTGGGCTCGACTTCTAAACCTGGAACAAAAGTGGGTGTGTGGTAAGAGATAACACAAAAACCGAGGTGGGAAGAAGACAGAAAGAAAACCTAACATAATCAGGACACATTGTTTTTAAACATTTCACCATTTGTACAGCTTATCACCAGGACAGTGGATGTTCAATCCAATCCAGTCTACTTTCCTAGGGGAAGAAATAGTATGCAGAGCAAAGAAGTAGTATATCTACAACCAAGCAGGAAGTCATAGCAGAGAGAGATGTACACCGGGGTCTTCCTTCCCATGCCTTTCTCTCTATAGCAGGTTTCACTTCACAGCAGGGGTTCCCTCCGTGAAGCTGGGATGCTAGCTAGACTTAGCCTACAATCAGACTGCTTCCAGTGTTCAGTCTCTGCAGACACACAGACACAAATGGAGAGAACCTCTACAGACAAAGATGGAGAATTTTCTTCTATTTATTTCTAATAATGTGTAAGTGGGTATGTGCACCCAAGTGCAGAGGCCCACAGAAGCAGAGGCATCACATGCCTTCGATCTGGAGTGACAGACAGCTGGGAGCAGACGGATGTGGAAGCTGGGAACAAAAGGAAGTATTCTTAACTACTGAGCTTTTCTCCAGTCCCAACAAAGGAAGAATTCTACATGCAAGTTCCTGAAGACAAAACAGACCTGCTTGCCCATTGGTCTTGATGCCTGATTCCTAACCACAGGGTTCTACTTCAAACTTACACCTCAGAAAGGCTTGAATCCAGCACAGCAATTGAGCAGTCTTCACTGAGAGAGGCCAGAAAGGGAGCACTAGGAGAGGGAACAAAGGGGAGAGAAGATAAAGTCTAGATTCCATAACCAAAATCTGACTGCACCAGCCCCAAACTCACCATAAACTGAGCCAGGGGAAAAGGCAGCCTGATACCCACCTTTGGGTTAAGGTCTTCCTGCCATTATAATTCCAATAAAAATGGAACAGAGACAGTACTCATAGAAACCACCCTGGTAACCAACTACCCAATGGGTCCCTCTCTACATTAGCAATTACCCAGAATCAGGCTCCTTAAGCACATGGTGCCAGAAGCCTAACATCAATCAAGCTGTGTTGAACAGGTATGAGATCACATTTCAGCTGTTTTTAGACTATGCAACCCTAATAAGAACTGTACTGACTAGCTTAGGAAGACCAAGCTCAAGTACTTACATTGTTCCATCTAAGGAACAATGTAACCAGCTAATGCTGTGCCAATAGATACATTCCTTATCACTCCATTCCTACCCCTCACCACTGGCCCAACCCATCCCTTCCAAACCCCTGATGACAAACAGTACCTGTGTGGAGAGAATACCAGCCTAGTGACACACTGGGAGTGCACAGCTGAGCTGAGGGTACTGCTTGCATTCTTGGTGTCCACAAGGGAGACAGATCCATTCTCATCACCTGTTGAAGAAACAGCCATGTTACCATGGTTAAGAACATACATTTCAGGCTGTCCACAGTCAAGCACGCCTTTAATCGAGTGCACAGCTGAGCTGAGGGTACTGCTTGCATTCTTGGTGTCCACAAGAGAGACAGATCCATTCTCATCACCTGTTGAAGAAACAGCATGTTACCATGGTTAAGAACATACACTTCAGGCTGTCCACAGTCAAGCACGCCTTTAATACTAGCATGCAGGAGGCAGAGGCAGGAGGATCTATCTGAGTTCAAGGCCAGCCTGATTTAAATAATAAGCTCTAGAACAGCCAGAGCTACATAGAAAGACCCTGTCTTAGGAGAGAAAACAACAACAAAAACCTTAGGCTTTGACATGCCAGTCCTGGATTTGCATGAATCTTAGTTCCTCGAGATATGGACAAGTTCACCACCCAGAGCACCAGTTTCCTTTTGTAAGGTAGGATAAGCAAGTTACTGTGTGCTGTGACAATTACTGGATACTTATTACTTTAACTACAAGCTGTTACCATATGCAGTCATACCCACATAATTCCCTAAACAGCAAAGCTGCTTGCTAAGTGGCCCAATGATTTCTAACCATGCCGAGAATAAGGGAGCTGGATCCATGAGGAATCCAATCTACTAGGAAAAAATTATGTCCCCCAAAGCTAAACAAAACTGCTCTAATTCATGTAGTGCTGAAGTGTGTTGACAAGAGTGTGTACACCTCGAAGGTAGCGCTTTCCCATCCTCCCGTTCTCAGAGTCCATATGTCATGCTGCCTTACCAAAGACAAAGACATCACTCTGCTGAGGATGCCAAGCCAGGGAGGTAGGAAGGTAGCCAGAAGCACTGCAGCCTGGAAAGGACAAAAGGGAGGTTTGGAACAAAAGCAGCCACAACCTACAAGAAGCAGTTTTTCAAGAGAAGTCACAAAGTCCTGGGAACACTTTGACTGGGTTTCTTAAATGCTGCTATGGCAATCAAGCATGTCGTCATCCCTGAGCCTCATGACCTGGGCAATCAAGCATGTCGTCATCCCTGAGCCTCATGACCTGGGCAATCAAGCATGTCGTCATCCCTGAGCCTCATGACCTACATCTATTCAGTCTCCTGTCATTTGGGGGTATACATTTAAAGCACAACAATAATAACCCTAGTCCTTTTGTCTCTCTCTGCAGAGTAACCACCCACCTGGAAGCTAGCCCTTCCCCTTGGTACTCATTGCACTATGGTGAGCAGAGCCTCACAACAATAATAACCCTAGTCCTTTTGTCTCTCTCTGCAGAGTAACCACCTACCTGGAAGCTAGCCCTTCCCCTTGGTACTCATTGCATTATGGTGAGCAGAGCCTTAGTGAGACAGAAAATGACGTCACAGAGGGTGGGCATCTGGCAACTCTGCTCTGACTCTGGGCAAAGACAGCCTCTTCCAACTGGCTTCCTATTGCCATGTTCTCCTCACCATTGGTCTCAGACTCACCCATCTGTGATGCTGGCTTAGGACAGCGGGTATCCCAGAGCAAAATCCTACTGTCCTAGGAAGAGGAACAGAAAAAGGGTTTCATAATCCAAAGAACAGCTGCTGGCCAGTCTCCACACCAGGGATTTGGGCCTATGAAAGTTCAACTATGGTTGGAAAGAAGTGACTAGATCTCACCTCACTGCATGAAAGAAACACAGAGTCTTTGTGGGGAGAGGCAGCAACACAGGTGACCTGTCCTGAATGAGCTGTAAAGGAGAAACATGGCAGAAAAAAGAGAATGTCAGAAACAGGCCTGCTTTCATCATGTCAGTCAATAAATAATATGGCAGATTATAAACTACAACCAGAGGGAAAGCTGATAGTTAGAAAACCTGAAGAGGCTCCGGAAAAATGATGAACTGGTAGGGACAATGAAGTCCAATTACAGGCTTAGTAAGAATGGGGAAGGAAATTTGCAGTATGGATGTTTCAAAGGAAAAGGCCATTACTGACTCAGTAACAGTTTCCATAATGGAGATGCAGGCCTCTAAGTTGCATAGAAAAATCTGAGAGTTCTGGCACTATGTTTTAAGCAATGTGAGTATTATAATATGCTTTCCCTTGAGAGTGAAATGAACTGCCTGAGCTTTGCTTCTCCCACTTTAGAGGTAGAATGCATACCTCCTTTCCAGCCCAGGGCTTCCCATGCCAGCATTCAGAGCCTGAACATCTAAGGCTCTCAAAGGAGAACAGAGAAGGGACTGAACCTGTCTCAGTCACCCCACAAATACAAGGGCAGCTCTGTGACTTGCCTGTTTCAGTGAAAACTGAAAAATAAAATGGTTGTCAGAAGAACATAACCAATTAGCTTATCTGAACTAATAAACCAAGCTGGACTTTTTGTAAAAGAAAGTGAAATCTAATGTTGCTAACAGAACAAACTGGTTTTCGTCATTAGGTTATTTGTAAACAGTTTCTGTAAGCAGGTTACTGACACTGAAAAACACATGCTTAGAAAAAAATGTGTAACAATAAACATGACAAAAACTTAACCTCTTGTCAACTACCTAATTTTTAATAATATTTATTAATTGTGTATGTGTGCCCATGTGCCACAGCACACACATGGAGGTAAGAGGATAACTTGCACGAGTCAGTTCTGTTCTTCCACCAGGTGCAATCCAAAGATCAAACACAGGTCTCCAGGTTTGGCAGCAAGTACCTTTACTCACCAAAGAAAGCATCTCACTTCCCCTACTTAGATCTCTTCATTAACAATTTTTAAAATATGTAGGAGGGTATAGCTTTTAAATCCTTTAGAAAGTCTACATGTGAAAAAAAAAAAAATCACTGCTAGGTAGAGGTTGAAGAAATCACTGAGGTCATTTAACCAGCTCTTCCAGAGTACTCAGAATGGTCTGCCTTAAGGACTAAATGTCTCTCCATCCTTCTATCCTCACTATCCATCTTCATGAATTCAAAATTCATAAATAATTGCTACCAAATTAAAGTCAAATGCTGGTTGTGTTAATGAAGCAAAGTAAAAAGAACATTAAAGAAAGTGATGAAATGCCCTGAGAAGATGTTTTATAGAGGTGAAAATTCAACAGATTTACGATTCAAAAGTCTTGGGGAGGAGAGATGGCTCAATCAGTAAAGTGTTTTCAATACCAGCATGAAGGCCTGAATTCAACCCCAGAATCCATGTAAAAAGTCAAGTTATGGTGGCACTTGCTTATACGCCCAACACTGGGAAGGCAGAGAAAACTGAACCCTTGTGGCTCCCTGGCCAGTCAGCCCCGCCTCATCTGTAAGTTCCATGTCCTAGTGAGAGAATCAGTCTTGAAAAACAGAGTAGGTGTCTCCAGTGTTGACCTTTGCATGTCCTAGTGAGAGAATCAGTCTTGAAAAACAGAGTAGGTGTCTCCAGCGTTGACCTTTGGTCTCCAACACACACACACACACACACACACACACACACACACACACACGTCCCAGGGCTTTTCCACTGAGAAGGACAAGGCTCTGCTGTGTCTGAGTTAAGCTGGTGCACAGCCGATTGTCATAATAAAGCTCCAATGATGACAAGAAAATGGAATCTTGTTCTGCAGGACACAAGAAACAAATGAAGCACCAAGAGTCACAGAAGACAGGCAAAGAGATGAGTGAGACTATCTACGGATAAAGCCTGATGGTAAACAAAATGTTAGAAATGGACAGAAGGGAAGTGACCAAATGGAGACTCAAAGAACCCGATGAACCCTGAGTATAAGAAGATAGACTTTGTTGGCCACTGTTGTTTAAAATGTTTGGCTCCCAATTGGTGGACTATTTAGGAAGGATTGGGATGTGTGGCCTTGTTGGAGATGTGTCACTCAGAGCGGGCTTTGAGGTTTCAAAAGCCCATGCCATGCACACGCTTGTGAATTAGGATGTAATTGCTTAGTTCAGGCACCAGGCCTGCCTGCTTGCCCCCATTCTCCTCACAGTGATGGTCATGGGCTAACCCACTGACACTATAAGCAAGCCTTCAACTAAATGCTTTTTCTTACAAGTTGCCTTGATCATGGTGGTGTTCTACAGCAATAAATTAAGTCACCCAAGTAGTGAAAAGGCTGTGACACCATCAACAAAAACAGGAACAGAGGAAATGACAGGCAGCAAATAAAGGACCCCGACCGTAGTTTAGGGGTAAGGAGAAGCCAACCAAGAGAACACAGACTTATCCAAACAAAGTTCAAAGTTCCCAAAGGATGAAATAAAAGATAACTATAGCCAGTATCAATCAAGAAGGAATATTTACCTCGGTATGAATTCAATGACATCTGCTGAGTCAGGTCCCAAATTTTGATGCTACAATGCAAAAAAAGAAATAGGAATCTTGACTTGCACTATCAACATAAAAATGGATTCAAACAGGAACATGTTTGACTAACATGTCCCCTATCTGCCTCCTAGATCCTGTTGTCTTATTTATAATGCACACCAATAAGGAAACAGACATGCCATTACTCACTAGACTCTAAAAACAGCCCCAAACATTACTTAATGAAATTAAAGAGGATAGAAAGATACCCACAGGAAGCCTAGAGATGGGAGTAATGAAAACAGGAACCCACCAGAAGTCTTTGCTACCACTGACAGCTTGTGTGCCAGAGCTCAGGACAGTGACAGTAGACACAATGTCATCATGCTCATACTTGCAGAACTTGCTGACAATAAGTGTCTCATTCTCATCTAGCTCCCACAATTCAACAGCACCTGTTGAGGACAGAGTGGAGTGAAGTGTAGGTGGGGGAAGCACAAGCCTGGGTTAGACCAAGGTGGCAATTCATGCCTAGGACTCAAGCAGGCATTGCTACAAAGTCAACAAAAAGTTGTTCCTGTAAAAGCAAAGACCACATCATTAAAGGGCTTAGCTCACTTCCAGGCCATTTGGTTTTGTTACCTTACTGCTTTCCTAACAACAGCCCAGATGACTATGTGAGGAAATCTCCTAGAAAAAGACAGGGAAATCGATATAATAGCAATTATTTTGCTTCCAGAGGAAAGACACTGGGAAATTGGTTCCCAGGGAGACAAAGATAAAGCCTTACACAGCACAGTTGAGTGAGGTATATCTTTCCAGTGGTTCAGACACTAATAAATATTTGATTAGACTGCTTAAAAAATGCCTTGCAATACTTTAATGTTCAAGACTGCCAGAGAGGCTCAATCTCCAATGTCCTACTTCTCAACTGCCAAGCCCTAACTAATTTAAGAATACAGATAGACATACAACAGTGTGGTGGCAAACACCTTTAATCCCAATGCTCGGGAGGCAGAGGCAGGTGGATCTCTGAGTTTGAGGCCAGCCTGGTCTGCAGAGTTCTACAAAGAGAAACCCTGTCTCAAAAGACCAAAACACACGCACGCGCACATGAACACACACTTGAGGTATTTTTAAGTGTATAGGTGTTTTGCCTTCATGGCTAATTCACCAAATGCATTCAGTGCCCATAAAGGCCAAAAGAGGGCACCGAATTCCCCCAAAATTGGAGTTAGAAATGGTTGTTAGTGGCATGTGGGTGCTGGGAATCCAACTTGGGTCCTCTGGAAAAAGCAGTCAGCCCTTGTAACCACCAGGTAATCTTTCGGGACCCAAAATACATGTTTCTATTTCATTGAGACAGAGTTTCCTTATGTAGCCTTGGCTGGCCTGGAACTCCCTTCGTAGAACAGCTGGCCTCCAACTCACAGATCTGCTGCTTTTGCTCAGATAGGCAGCACCCACACACAGCTCCCACCAACTTCTAAATTATATTTAATGTAATTTTCATTCAACGTGATTTGATTATAATGTTTGATTCTTTGAGAATTTATGTGCACACAATGTAGTTTGATCATATTCACACCTAATGTGTCCAAGATTCACTCTCACACCCCCACCCCCCCAACTTCATTTTTCTTCTCTTTTTTAACACCAAGGTCTACATTGCTCAGCCTCACACTCAGCTGCCTAGCAAGGTGGCTGGGTTCAATTCCCAGAACAACCTCAACAGCAAAAGAAAAGAGAAGGTCTAGCATGGTGGCACAGGTCTTTTATCCCAGCACAGAGGAGGTAGAAGCAAAGTGGGAGACCTCTGTGAGCTCAAGGCCAGGGCAACATGATTGGAGCCTGTCTCAAAAAATAAACAAGAAGACAGGTCGCACCGACTGTCTTCTGCTCCGCCTCTTAAATCAACATTCTCGATGGGCGTTGGTGCCTCCAGCACTCAGGAGGCAGAGGCAGGCGGATCTCTGTGAGTTCGAGGCCAGCCTGGTCTCCAGAGTGAGTGCCAGGATAGGCTCCAAAGCTACACAGAGAAACCTTGTCTCGAAAAACCAAAAAAAACAAAAAACAAAAAACAAAAAACAAAACATTCTCTTTGGTCTAGGCTGGCCAGGGGCCACAGGAAGACTGTAATCTATTTCATTTTTTGAGCGAATTAACTAGGCATCGACCACCTGGCAGTTTAAAATCTTAAGAGGAAAAAAATGACCTTTTCCCATCCCAACCTACATGTTCAGTTCCAGGGGAGGGGGTGACTCACCTGAGTCAGAAGCCACTAGGATACCTTTGTCCCCCACCCAAGTGAGGTCAGCTACTCCGGCTTCGGTCTGGACGCCCGCAGAGCAGAAGCCTTCGTTGGGGGCCGCATTCGGATCCTTGAAAAACCAGAGAGAGCCGGCCCAGCAGCGACCACTCAGACTGGAGGCCCCGAGCAGAAGGGAACCATCTGCAGTGGGGCGAGAAAGTTACAAAGTGTCAGAAGGAAGGCCCCGCTCGTTTCCATGGTAACCTCATAGAACCCATCGCGGGCCGCGTGTGAGAT